TAAATGCCTCAGGGTCTGAAAAAACCTCTGAAACATGCTGAGTGTGAACGTGCCCTGAATGTACCGATAAAGTTATTAATGCATGATGCACGGGAGAGAGAATATGTTAACAAAAAGCAACCACACGAGGTTCTGTGTCTCTGAGCATCAGCGTGAGCGCGTCCGTCGCTCTTTATGTACTCACAAAGAATCCACACACTCACACACAATCACATGAGAAGTGTTTGGTCACACCTCCCAAAGAAGCACAGGTGCGTGTGTGTGTGTGTGTGTGTGTGTGTTTTTTTCCACAGAGGAAACTTGGGTGTTTTAAGCTCCAACAAAGTGCATGTCAGATGAGGAAGAGGAGTATTTGGCCTGTTTGGATGAAAGTCCAAAGACTTGGCGAAGGTTGCATTTGATGTTGAAATGAATGATTCAAATTCTCCGGACGCCATCTTGTCTTTTTATACCCCACATGTTCTCCCTGTGTCAGTGTGGGTTTCCTCCAGGTGCTCTGATATGTTCTCCCTGTGTCAGTGTGGGTTTCCTCCAGGTGCTCTGACATGTTCTCCCTGTGTCAGTGTGGGTTTCCTCCAGGTGCTCTGACATGTTCTCCCTGTGTCAGCGTGGGTTTCCTCCAGATGCTCTGACATGTTCTCCCTGTGTCAGCGTGGGTTTCCTCCAGGTGCTCTGACATGTTCTCCCTGTGTCAGCGTGGGTTTCCTCCAGGTGCTCTGACATGTTCTCCCTGTGTCAGCGTGGGTTTCCTCCAGGTGCTCTGACATGTTCTCCCTGTGTCAGCGTGGGTTTCCTCCAGGTGCTCTGACATGTTCTCCCTGTGTCAGCGTGGGTTTCCTCCAGGTGCTCTGACATGTTCTCCCTGTGTCAGCGTGGGTTTCCTCCAGGTGCTCTGACATGTTCTCCCTGTGTCAGCGTGGGTTTCCTCCAGGTGCTCTGACATGTTCTCCCTGTGTCAGCGTGGGTTTCCTCCAGGTGCTCTGACATGTTCTCCCTGTGTCAGCGTGGGTTTCCTCCAGGTGCTCTGACATGTTCTCCCTGTGTCAGCGTGGGTTTCCTCCAGGTGCTCTGACATGTTCTCCCTGTGTCAGCGTGGGTTTCCTCCAGGTGCTCTGACATGTTCTCCCTGTGTCAGCGTGGGTTTCCTCCAGGTGCTCTGACATGTTCTCCCTGTGTCAGCGTGGGTTTCCTCCAGGTGCTCTGACATGTTCTCCCTGTGTCAGCGTGGGTTTCCTCCAGGTGCTCTGACATGTTCTCCCTGTGTCAGCGTGGGTTTCCTCCAGGTGCTCTGACATGTTCTCCCTGTGTCAGCGTGGGTTTCCTCCAGGTGCTCTGACATGTTCTCCCTGTGTCAGCGTGGGTTTCCTCCAGGTGCTCTGACATGTTCTCCCTGTGTCAGCGTGGGTTTCCTCCAGGTGCTCTGACATGTTCTCCCTGTGTCAGCGTGGGTTTCCTCCAGGTGCTCTGACATGTTCTCCCTGTGTCAGCGTGGGTTTCCTCCAGGTGCTCTGACATGTTCTCCCTGTGTCAGCGTGGGTTTCCTCCAGGTGCTCTGACATGTTCTCCCTGTGTCAGCGTGGGTTTCCTCCAGGTGCTCTGACATGTTCTCCCTGTGTCAGCGTGGGTTTCCTCCAGGTGCTCTGACATGTTCTCCCTGTGTCAGCGTGGGTTTCCTCCAGGTGCTCTGACATGTTCTCCCTGTGTCAGCGTGGGTTTCCTCCAGGTGCTCTGACATGTTCTCCCTGTGTCAGCGTGGGTTTCCTCCAGGTGCTCTGACATGTTCTCCCTGTGTCAGCGTGGGTTTCCTCCAGGTGCTCTGACATGTTCTCCCTGTGTCAGCGTGGGTTTCCTCCAGGTGCTCTGACATGTTCTCCCTGTGTCAGCGTGGGTTTCCTCCAGGTGCTCTGACATGTTCTCCCTGTGTCAGCGTGGGTTTCCTCCAGGTGCTCTGACATGTTCTCCCTGTGTCAGCGTGGGTTTCCTCCAGGTGCTCTGACATGTTCTCCCTGTGTCAGCGTGGGTTTCCTCCAGGTGCTCTGACATGTTCTCCCTGTGTCAGCGTGGGTTTCCTCCAGGTGCTCTGACATGTTCTCCCTGTGTCAGCGTGGGTTTCCTCCAGGTGCTCTGACATGTTCTCCCTGTGTCAGCGTGGGTTTCCTCCAGGTGCTCTGACATGTTCTCCCTGTGTCAGCGTGGGTTTCCTCCAGGTGCTCTGACATGTTCTCCCTGTGTCAGCGTGGGTTTCCTCCAGGTGCTCTGACATGTTCTCCCTGTGTCAGCGTGGGTTTCCTCCAGGTGCTCTGACATGTTCTCCCTGTGTCAGCGTGGGTTTCCTCCAGGTGCTCTGACATGTTCTCCCTGTGTCAGCGTGGGTTTCCTCCAGGTGCTCTGACATGTTCTCCCTGTGTCAGCGTGGGTTTCCTCCAGGTGCTCTGACATGTTCTCCCTGTGTCAGCGTGGGTTTCCTCCAGGTGCTCTGACATGTTCTCCCTGTGTCAGCGTGGGTTTCCTCCAGGTGCTCTGACATGTTCTCCCTGTGTCAGCGTGGGTTTCCTCCAGGTGCTCTGACATGTTCTCCCTGTGTCAGCGTGGGTTTCCTCCAGGTGCTCTGACATGTTCTCCCTGTGTCAGCGTGGGTTTCCTCCAGGTGCTCTGACATGTTCTCCCTGTGTCAGCGTGGGTTTCCTCCAGGTGCTCTGACATGTTCTCCCTGTGTCAGCGTGGGTTTCCTCCAGGTGCTCTGACATGTTCTCCCTGTGTCAGCGTGGGTTTCCTCCAGGTGCTCTGACATGTTCTCCCTGTGTCAGCGTGGGTTTCCTCCAGGTGCTCTGACATGTTCTCCCTGTGTCAGCGTGGGTTTCCTCCAGGTGCTCCCACATGTTCTCCCTGTGTCAGCGTGGGTTTCCTCCAGGTGCTCTGACATGTTCTCCCCGTGTCAGCGTGGGTTTCCTCCAGGTGCTCTGACATGTTCTCCCTGTGTCAGCGTGGGTTTCCTCCAGGTGCTCCCACATGTTCTCCCCGTGTCAGCAGCTGAGTGATAGTTTATAAACTCATGTTCTGATGCAGTTTTGCTTCAGTTCATCCAGAATGTTCTCAGGTAGAGACAATCTGCTGTGAAGCCTCTGAGCAAACTGTGATTTGTGATACTGGGCTTTATGAATAAAATGGATTTGAAAAAGCTGAAAGGATCAACTGCTTCTTAACCACCGGGAAACATTTTTAACTTTCGTCTTAACTATGGAAGCTGAGAAGTTGTAATAAAACAGGCTGAGCTCCGACTGATGTCACACATGTTCATTCATTTGTCTCTTTAGGGTTCTCGTGACTGCTCTGATGTTCTTTGATTGTTCTTGTGTTGATGGGTGGACGGGGCTGTTTCTTCATGTCTTGATTGGGCTGCGAATAAACAACCTTGTTTTTTGTTTTTGTTTTTTTAAAGAATGCTCTCAGTTGTTGGATTTTTGTTCGGTGCGAAAACGTGACAGAGAGAAACAAACTGTCCTTGATGAATTCAGTGCAGTCTGATGTAACTGATGACGTGAGTTTTTAAATTCTGTTAACCACCTTCCTTTGGCCGAACAATGCAATTGTGTAGTACATGTAAGTAAGTGTACATGCAGAGACTCCAGCTGACTGAGGGCTGCAGGAACCTGACCTTTAGTTACAGCGCCCCCACCAGGACGACTTGACTCGTATGTTTTCTGATGTAAAGAACATTCACAAAGTCACTGAAGCTTCACCTCAGTTTTTATTTTCCATGATCTGACTGGCTGTGGTCCAACTGTCTCTGACGCGTCATCATCACACTTTAATGAGAGTTTAATTCAGTGTGACGTCACAGACACTTAACGAGAGGGTCCAGCTCAGTTCATTTAAAGATGGAGAATAAATGAGGTTATGAATCATCAGGATGGACCGTGAGGCGCGCCCCCGAGGAGGCGAGGAGAGCGCGCGCCAACAGATGAAACCGCTCTGCGCTCCGGTGGAAACATCAGGAGGATGAACAGAGAGGAGAGGAGGAGGGGGAGGACACAGGGAGAGCGCATCACTGGAGGAGTGTGCGTGGCACAAACACGCGTACACGCACATTTACACCAAACCCCAGCTAAAGAGAGAGAGAGAGAGGGAGAGAGAGCGCGCATCATTGTTGGACGCTATAAGGCGCGTAAAGCTCCTCCACACAGACTCAGAGCTGAGGTAGCGCTCCGCACGTGAGGCTGTGAATGAGCGGGACACCGGCACACTGACAGACACACCGGCACACTGACAGACACACCGGCACACTGACAGACACACCGGCAGCAGCTGGAGTCATGAATAACGGAGCGGGTTTGTGAATGAAGCCTCAGAGCGGAGACGTGACTCCAGCTGTGACGGAGGATCCATGAAGCTCACAGGGTTCTGATGTTCCGGTCTGGAGACGGAGCTGCACGTGCTCGTGTTCACTGAGGATTCACTGAGCTCACACCTGTGAGGCTGCACAGGTGACCGCGGGACTGAGCAAAGAGAACATTCACTGACATGTCCTGTTTGGAGACTTTGGCGCACAACGGACGCGTCGCTCCGGTTCCGCTACGCACAGCGATGCGCACAGCTCCGCGGTGCTCCTAGAGCCACAGCCCGGACATGGACTCGGGAAGCCGGGGTCCTGACGGGACTGCACCCTGAACCCGGACATCACAGAGAAGGAACTGTGAACACACCGCGGCGTGTTTCTACCTTTCAGATAGGCTGCAGCTGTGACGCGCGTTTATGGTGCGTGACAGGATTTACTCTGTTTTCTCCCTGGTCACACCTGTCAGTCTGCGATCAGACTCCCTGTGACGTGGACTCGCAGCAGGTCGGGGAGTTTGTCCTCACGAGCACGCGGAGGTGTCTCACAGGAAGTTTTTCCAAGTTTTCCACCGAACCAAAGAAACTAAAGAAACCAGCGCAGCGGGTCCGTCACACGAGGCGACCAGCTGCAGATACACGAGGCGACCAGCTGCAGATACAGAAGGCGACTGCTGCCGCTGCTGCCGCCAGGACTCACACAGATGTTTGTGATTTGTTTTGAGCTCAGAAAGAGAGGCAAGCAAGCGCGTGCATGAGAGCGCGTGCACACGTGGACAGAAGTGGAGCCTGCTGTAAAAACTTGACCTGATGATGAAGCATCGTGTCTCTGTGCTTCATCATCATCACCTGTGACCCGTGTGTCCTCTCTAAGTACCTGCTCACCGGTCACACCTTTCACCCGCGTGCACGTGCTGTTTCACCCCCTCTGCTTGCACCTCTCGCGCATCGGTCTGTGTGTGTGTGTGTGTGTGTGTGTGTGTGTTAAATGTTATAAAACCACATGAAGTCCAGCATGTAGTGTGACGTCACCACCACCCACACTGTGACTCTGTGACCTGCAGCCTCCCCGCACAGCCGCGCGTGATGCTGAATGGACCGACACTCCGTGACCACGACCCGATGCGACTCGTCAACCCGCGGCACCTCCCGCAACTGATGTCCCTGGAGGACCATGAGCCCACCCTGCTGGAGGGGACCCTGGGGCCCCGCAACGCCACACCGGCAGGGGAGGAGGGGGCCCCGGGTCCGCAGCACCAGTCCTTCCCCTGGGTGGTGACCCTGCTGGCCGGAGTCCTCATCACCACCATCGTGGTGGATGTTATCGGGAACCTGCTGGTGATCGTGTCCGTGTTCCGGAACCGGAAACTCAGGAAAGCAGGTAGGCAGCTGTCCGTCTGTCCCTGTTTCTGTCTGTCTGTCTGTCTGTCTGTTTATCACCACTCAACACAGTGAGTCCATCTTCTGGATGATCAGAGTTTATTACTCCGACTTTATGACATGTTCCTGCAGCGACTCTTTTATGATCCTCAGGTTTCAGTATTTTGTATTTTCTTATGATATTTCTGATCGTTTACACTTAAAACCATCAGTAACTGTATAATTTTTATTTTTTAATCTATTTAGTTATGAATCAATACAACTTCAATGAAATGTGACTTAAACATGAAGACATTTGGGACATTTATTAAAAATTTCACTCTTAAGAAGATTGTTGGCAGGTTCCAATAATAATAATAATAATGATACTTTCTGCTTTGCAATATAGGACATATTTACTACAACTACCACCCACTATTTTAATAGGAGAACATCTAGTAAGTGTTGTTTGTTACAGTGAGCCTGGACAGCACCTGTGTATTCATCATAAAGTGAATTAAAGTTTAATCTGCAGGTTTTGTCATTGTGAGATTATTGAGGAGGTATTTTTCAACCTGGCCCTGGTCTCCTATTTTTCATGTGTGACTGACTGATGGAAACATTTTGTGTTATTGGTCCAATATTGAGACAGAGAGCTGCAGCCGGCCGCCACCACACAGGCTGTGATGTCACCACTCAGGAATTACAGGTAGCTCTGTGTGTTAGAGTTCAAACGGACCTGACCCAGTGAAAAAATGGTTTTCAGCAGGTTCCTGTTCTGCAACAAAAAAATGTCACAATACAAAATAAAGCAGAAACAGTGGACAGATCAGACAGAGCTCCAGAGACGCTGCAGAGAGACAGCTGAGGTGAAGGGAGTCAAATGTGATGTGAGAGTTAACTGAGTGGTGTCAGGTGAGTTTTTCCATCAGCTTGTGTCTGTGTGTGTTTGAAATGTGTCACAGGGGTTAGCGCTCTGATGTAATGTGGGATCTCGCTCCAATGATCTCTGACCATAGCTGTGTTTGTACGGCGGTATGTGATACCCTACGATTTAGAGCCCTGAATGACGTTAAGTCCTTAATGTAAAGTTACTGTGGTGAGGTTTAGGAAAAGAAACATGGTGATGATGCAACAGAAAATGACTTAACGTTCACTAACAGTTCTAAACTTTGGGAATATGTGTTTTCTGTATGAATTACTGGCTCGTGATTACGTAGGGCATGTACAAATTTAGTGCGTTATATTTCCAGGAAAACATCTGATCAGTGCCTGAGAACAGTCTGATTTAAATCCATTCAGAGTCAGTTTTTGTCTGATAACGTTACAGATCAGGTCCTGCAGAGAAGTGAAACGTTTTCTGTGCATTTCAATTGTTCTGCTCTGTTAACAGCTGCTGTTCTTCTTCTTTGAGTTAGCTGCTAACTGCCAACAGCTGCTGTTCTTCTTCTTTGTGCTAGCTGCTAACTGCCAACAGCTGCACACAGAACATGTTGTCAAAACGTCACACCCATGATCCCGCCTTGCTGGCTGTCCTGTTTATACAGACGTTGTTTCAGCGCTGTTACGACCTCCGTTCTCGGCTCAGAGGCAAGACAACTCTGTCCCCCACCCTGTGATCGTACCTTATCTACAGCACGGTGAGGCGGAATAACTGCATGCAGCCCCCATCTTTAAGAGGAAATGTAAAAGTGACAAAAACAAAGACTGAATGGGCGTAGACTGACAGGGCGAATGCGCTGCAGGTGGTTACAGCTCAGCCTGTTTCACTGCTGCTGATGCAGCTTTGTCTCTCAGTACTGGACCAATAAAAAAACAACAAAAAAAACCTTGTTCCCACGAGTCAGTCAGACACAAGAAAATGTGAGAACAGTCCAGGCTGAAAAACAGCAGAGATCCCCTCTGACAGGGTGAATGTGGTCTGAGAAGTTGTTTGACTTGTTGAGAGCTCACTGCTCTGTAACTCTGTCTGTTTCTGTTAAAGCACTCAGCGCCACCTCCTCCGCACTCATACCACAATATGTGAATACTGATGAGTTGTTTTGACATTTAAGATCTTTGCATGTTGGAGCACTGAAGCCGAACTTCCTGTTAAGCTCTCGAATTAAAAGTCCAGGCAGGAAAATCAATTCGCCACATGCGAGGTTGTAAGATCTGATCCCAGAGCAGGCGGAGGGACGTGAAGGAGGAGGGCTGCCGTCTCCTCTCTGAGTCTGAGTAAGCTGCGTTCACTGAAAGCACTCAGCTCAGTCTCTGTGTTAATGGACTCAGAGATCATCAGGAGGTTCAACAGGAAACACCCAGCACAGGAACATGAACGTGACCACGGGATGATGGGGCACATCTCTGTGGTTAAAGACACATCAGTGAAGTCTCTGAGTGACAGTTTGTGTTTGAGTGACAACATGAGACAGGTCAGAAATCATGTCAGGGTTTTGTTTTTTGGTTTGTTCTCTGATTGTTTAACACTTGTACTGTGGCGCATATGAATGAGTGTGTGCCTCCGTGGTGCGTTCACATGCTGCTGAGAGACTTCTGAAGTGACATAGTATCTGAGCTGACTCTGTCTTCAGGAGGTGGAGGGGATGGTGGATGGTGTGACACCTCAGGAAGTGTGGCTAAATATGTGTTTATGTGACGTATAATAAATAAAGTGGAACCCAGGGTGAGGGAGCCCGTCTGTGCTCTGACATGTTCTCCCTGTGTCAGCGTGGGTTTCCTCCAGGTGCTCCGACATGTTCTCCCTGTGTCAGCGTGGGTTTCCTCCAGGTGCTCTGACATGTTCTCCCTGTGTCAGCGTGGGTTTCCTGCGTGTACTCAGCATATCCCAATATTGCAATGACCTCAGTGACCTCAGTATTGTGATAATATCCCATCCTGACCATATAAACTAGAACATGATCTTTTTCTAACCATAACCAGGCAGTTATTCAGCTTAAACCTGATCACACATCATCCACAGCATTCTCACCACTGAAAACTGAAACTAAAAATGTAAACATATCTGCTGCATATGAAATGAACAAAACATACCTATCGTCTAAAGAAACGAACAGTCCCAACATTAATCCTGGTCACTGAGCTGCGGTCACATTTAACTGTGTCATTTTAATGTGGAGCAGGTCCTGTCAGTCAAATCAAACAGTGTTTCATCGTCTGGATGAAACTCTGTGAGAATCTTTATTAACCTGAGCAGATATCTGAACGTTGTCTGTGTTTATGAGTTCATCATCTTTATCTCTGAGATCATTTTCTGAGCCTCTGATCGTCCGCTCAGCGTCATGCTTCAGAGCTCCACACGTGTCATCATGACAAATTAACATGGCCATGGATCAATACCTAAACACTCATATTCAGAGCCGTCCTGTCGGCCACACATCAGTCAAACAACGCCATTTGTTTCTCCTGCTCCTCCATCAATCCTCAGAGATCCTGGACTCCCTGAGTGGAAATGTAATGACCGCAGGAGGAAAACTGGATGAACTCTTCACCTCTCTCATTCTTCCTTCATCTCATCTCCCCTCCTGTCCTCTCTTATCTCTTTATTTTACTCCTCTTCAGATTCCCCATCTTCTCAGCTCTCGTCTCAATTCAGCTCCCGCCTTTGCAATTCTCCTGCTGCCACCCATCCAGCAGCTTTGATTCATTCCTTCAGACTCTTCCTCTCACATTTCCTCTGCTCTGCGTACTTCCTCCCTTTTCAATCACTCTCCTGGTTCCTCATCGTCTCCTCCTGGTTCCTCCTCTGTCTCCTCCTCTGTAACTCTTCTCTGTTTGCCTCTGTCCATTAATCTCCTGCCTCCATCTGCCCTGTCACAGACACATTATCCAGCATTGGTGAGGTCCTGAAGTCACTTTTCATTATGTCAAAAATCTGTGGTTCAGTTTCTGTCACCAGGTTCACCTCGCTGTGTCGACCACTTCAACCGTTAAGAGTCTTGTTGTGCCGTACAAGGATTTCTAACAAAGGCCTACACTTTATCCATAAACTTTTGGGCCTACATGTAACAATCAAAGCCTGAGACCACATGTTGGTTCCCAAAATAACAAAGGAATCAGTCAACCCCCTTTCTCTGTGTGAATCAGCTGATTCAACCCCCAACACAGCACCCCAGCTGACCAGCAGAGATCCCTTGAAATACACAGCTCCCATTGGGTGAAATCCGCCATGGCCAACCCCGCACCGATGACGTCACGCCGGGGTATATCATCACAAAGCGTACCTGAGGGAGACGCTTCTGGCTGTGATCCTTATAGCCAATAGAAGTACCCACAACTGTTCCTAAAGCTTAGCAACTCGTCCCACACGGCGAACGCTTTAGAAAGAGTTATTACTGTGCACAGTTAGACGCGTTTTAGGCCTACGGATTTCCCTCGCTGGTCGAGCTGATCTCCTCTCCTCTCCCTCACTCTGTGCGCCGAGGAACACAGAGTAGCCCGGTACGAGACCACGGATTGACCCTCTCACCCGGATGCCCGCGGATGC